AAATTGTCTTATCATTGCCAATACTTTTTTCTTCTCCCCTTCCCAATGTGCTGGCGATGACCGAATTCCCCTAAGAATATGATAACCTTCATCATGTTGGATTAGATTTTGGACGAAATTGTCATCTAATACGTCTCTAGCCGTGTAACTACTGTGCCCGATTTTTTTTCTTAGACATATAGATATATTGCTCTTAATTCTGGATAATTCCAGTTTTTTGTAAGAATACAACACTTTGTCGACACGAGCACATCGTCTGTCATAACGTCTAGCTTCTGACCTTATAACCTTTCCAACAGTGGCAGTACAAGTTCGTTTACACCACAATATATAGAAGGATATGATAGTTCTTCAGAGTTTTTGTCTAAAATCATGTCCAAGGGACGTTGGCCTTCTCCTGGTGCAATTGAAATTATTTTGAGTGGAAGATTTTCCACTGGGTCACTATCAATTAAACTCTTGAGGATTTAATTCAGTGATATTGTCTGTCTGAGAATTGTCTTCAATTAATTGTTGAACTAATTCTTGATCCTCTGCATTTGAAATAAATGGAACTTCTTCACTTGACCCAATACTAGTTAGCCATTGTTCTGAAATTGTGATACCGTGTGATTTAAATAAATCAGAATTAACTAAATAACGAGCAGCTGCTAAAATTTTTGCAGGTCTAATAGTCTCCGTCATAAAGCTGTGATTATATTCCAATCTTCGTTTAAGGTGAACCTGAATAACTTTAGTTTGGTCGAAGGTTCTTGGCAAAACAACAGCTCCTCTTACAGCACATTGGCGATTGTAACAAAGAAACTACTCTCATAAATGGTATTCTTGGAGCAACAAACCGCTCTTCTAAAGGCGTTAAATTTTTTAATTCGTCAGGAATTGTAGGAAAAATGCAAGCCCTTAGAAAGGCATATCGTTGGAATTTTACCGCTATTAGAAATTTTATAACACGTATTGCAAAATTTATAAATATTGTCTTCGGATGGAAAAATTTCGGATAAAAAAATACCTCGGATAAATTGGAGTATCGTCTTAGAAGAAGATTTTTTGTTTAAAGTTCTAATTTGGTTAGGAAACCAAAGACCACCACAACATACACAGATATCAGTTGGCCCTTTCTTTACGTTAACATTAAAATCCTGCAACATTCTGTTACTATGTCGTTGCGAATCTAATAGTAGATTATTGAGTCTTAATTCAGGCGAAATATTGTCTCGATTTTCCCTATTTCTTGAAGCTTGTCTAACATTTTGCCTTGCACGATTCTCTGGTTTTATTCTGTGTAATCTCACACGACAATTTCTAAGGCGATTTAAATCGTGTTCGAGCTAGATGACGAGCTTCACGACGTTGTGCTATATTACGAGTTTGTTCTAGAGTCCGGTAGTCAATGTTTAGTCTTGCTGATCTTCTTCTCATCGTATTTATGTTTTGTTCCAAAGAGCGGTATACAAAAATGGATCTTCTATTAGAATGAGAAATCAAATCGCGTTGTCGTTCGGATTCTCGATAAATAGGGTCTTCACGGCGCTCAGCGTGCTCTCTTGTATTTCTTATTTGTTCAAGAGCACGTTGTTCAGGATCAGACCTACGTATCGAATGTTGAAACGCATCTCTTTCTCATTCAATCTGCCTATAATTTTCATTTCTTCGGCGAATAGCATGCATGTATTCCTTTCTTGCTCAATTTCACGTTGAGATAAAATTGATCGACGAATAGAATGTTGCAGCGCGTCTTATTCGCATTCAATTTGCCTGTATTCGGTATTCTATCGGCGAATTGCATGCTCTACAGTATTCCGTTGTTGTTCGATCTCCCGTATGGGCAAAATTGATCGACGAATCGAATGTTGCAGTGCGTCTCGTTCACGTTCAATTTGTCTGTATTCGGTATTCTCCCGGCGAATTGCATGCTCTAGAGTATTCCGTTGTTGTTCGATCTCTAGTATGGGCAAAATTGATCGATGAATAGAATGTTGCAGCGCGTCTCGTTCGCGCTCAATTTGCCTGTATTCTTGCGATTCTCGACGAATAGCGTGTTCCAGTGTATTCCGTTCTTGTTAATATATAATGTTGTCGGTAACTAATATCTTCACGACGTCTGGCATGTTCCTGTTCACGGAATCTCCTAACTGATGCAATGTTTGATTGAATACGTTGTTGAGTCGATTGTTTACGTAGTCGTGGCATTTTATATCAATGTCTTTGAAACAGAAAAATCTTACCAAAAACAGTGTTATCCCACAAATAATATTTTATATGAACTATTTTAAAATATACAATTTAACACTATTATTTGTATACAGAATTTTAAAATTATTAAGTTAATATATAATATAATCACAAGACTACTATACACTGTTATATGGTATATTCAATTAAATTTTACTCTTAATCCTTGTATTTGATTTTTTTTGTTTTAAATTTTAAGAAAAATCATAATTTTCTGTCCCTGGTATAAAATGTTAGAATATATACAATATCAAATTTAATCCTTTTTAAAACTCTTAGAAATATGAACTTTAAACCTCGATAAAATTAAATCTGTACCGAATTTGAAAATTTTGGAGAACTTAAATTTTGTATGTATGTATGAAAAAATGTGTACCGATTTTTATCAAAATGAGAAAATTTTCCTGAAAAAAGCTTAATTTAAAATACCGTGATCCATATTGATCAATATATATTGAACGTGTCAGTACCGGTGTTGCCACAACAAAAAATTTTTTCTAACCAAAATTCGAATAAAAAATCAACAAATTTAGAAAAAAGTAATTTACATAGTTGGTCTATTACTGGAGACCAAGAAGTTTTTTATTTTTTACATTTTAATAATAGAATAAAAGCAACCAGCATTTTGTTTGCAAAAAATAACCAAAACGAAAAAATAATTCTCATGTACACATGCAAAATAAAAATAACCAATTTTGGTTAATAATACCCAAAGTGGCAATACTGTTTCTAAGTATGGAGGATAACAAAGTTTAAATAGAGTTAACGGTTTACTCGTTGAATTAATAATAGTTTTCTATCAAAGATGTAAACTAAAGTAGTAAATCATTAGGATTTACACTTAGAGGAAAAATACCGGTAAAATTCGATTTGTACTTACAACACATAGGGTCTTATCCATATACTTTTATGAAAGGTTTATAAATCAAATTTTCATACAAAATTTGTTCTATAAACCTTTGATAAATGTTTAGGAATAAGGCAGATATAATAAAACAACAATTTATTTTTGTTTTGTTTATATTTTTTATGATCATCAAACAAGACGAAGATATCGTTTTTACTTTACAAACTTAAGGGTCGATTTTACGCACAAATTTGTATAATTATGTTTACAAAGTATTTAATTTATTTGTAAACAATCGGTTTCAAACCCGAGAAGCTTTTTTGGTGTTCTGCAAATCGAGTTTTTATTTGAACGTAAAATTCAGAAAAATAATCATAATAATAAAAAAGTTTAAAATGCCCATTGCTTTTATACCAAGTTACAATTATATTAAAAAACGCATAAAATAATTGTTTAATTTATTTGAATAAAATTAAAATCGATTTACTTTCAACTAGATTTGTGTACTCGAGTTTAAAACGAGAAAAATTATGAGAATTCGTTTTTAAACGAGAAATTTACTCGGATTCGGTTTACAGATCAGACAGGAATATGTTTTCTTTTACTACAAATTTAATAGGTACTTATTTTTTAATTACCCAGCAAAAATAAAACGAAGTACTTTCAAAAGAATAACATTAATCACCACTTCAAAAGTAGCACTAATTGATTTTTTTACCTTCTGAGGAAGTGATTTTTAAAGACTTCCGAAGAAGCGAAAATAATTCTTTTTTTCAATGTTGAAGATATATTTTTTGTTCCTACATTTTTATGAGATAAAAAATGGTATAGTTGGGCTTTTAAATGTTTCTATTACCCTTATTAATGTTAATATTATTAAAGTCAAATTAGTTGTATTCTATAATACTACAATTTCACTTCCGAATAACTTCCAAAAAAAGAGCATTAAAATTACTTCTTGAGAATGACTTCAGATGTAGTGAATTTTGAATCAAATAAAAAGGACATCTCTCCTATGACAAGCCTGTGTTAAAATCGTCACTTCTTCATGTCTTTTTCAGTACTTCCATGGAGTAAATTCTACTTCTTTTTCGCTTCTTTGGAAGTTCTTGTTTTGCTGGTTAATAATCACAAAAATTCATGTCTATCTTGACATTATTGCGATTTTTATGAATATTTTGGGTAATAAGTTTCCAAATAGGACGATATTTTCAAGTCATCAAATTTCAATTTATCCTTTTTTGCTAAATCTCCCTGTAGTCATACAAATTACACTAATTTTAAAGTGATGCGTTATTCCATGTCGTCACCTGAAATGCAAAAGGGCGTAACACTTTTAAAAATGTTATAGGAGACAAGAAACTAAATAAAATGAAAACATTTTCTTACAATTATTGTATCCCAACATCGATAAATTGTTATAAAAATATTTTCTTACAATTATTTTATCCCAATATCGATAAACACGTTTGATGACTTCCTTACTTGTGGAAATTACAAATTTTCTGTTACGCCACTTTGAATTTCATTTCAATAAAGTCGGTATTTTTGATAAGGTTTCAAAAATTTACAAGTATTTTGATGCAGTGGACCATTTTCAACCAAAAAGTCGATTTTAAATTTTTTGGTTACACCACCTTTTTGCATTTTAAGTGACGGTACATATTTTCATTCGGAAGTTTGCTTTTTTTATATTAGAAATAGTTCCATTTGCTAAATGTCTTTGTAGACCATTTAGTTGACTGATGTTTTAAGTACGCTTAACACATTTTGTTGAATTTCTATCTCATTCACATCTAATTTTCACTTTCTTAATGTTTTACATTTTAAAACATAAACACAAAAATGACATCTAAATTACTAAACATTCAGCATCACTTTTATCCAATAAACATCAAAATAACAAAAAGGACAAGGTAAATATTTTGTTTTATAAAAATTCTTAATTTTATTCCTCTAAATTAAGAAGTTAAAAACAGTTTAGGCCTCCTCCTTTACAACGGTGGTCTTCTCAGAAACGTACAAACCGTCCAAGAACTTACGGATATCCTTGTTTTTAACAGTGGTAGATTGCTGAATAAGAGCGGCAGATCCGGAAACGGCTTCAATGTCGTTACCTTCAACGATCAATTCATCCTTTTGTGCAGTTGAGTTTACAACTGTTACACCGGGGGCCATTTCGACGCGACGGATGTATTTCTCACCCAAGAAATTACGGATTTCAATTACAGTATTATTTTCAGAGGTAACACAGTTAATGGGGAAATGAGCATATACAGCACGCATTTTGTATTGGAAGCCAACGGTAACACCTGCAATAATTAAAAGAAAATGTAATCATTTATATTTCGATAATAATGTCAAACTATGTATTTGTTTACATACCCTTGATCATGTTTTCAATGTGACTGCAGACAGTGCGAACAGCAGCCAACTCTTTCTTGGCTCCAAACCATTTCTCAACTTTCAAGGTACGTTTGTTTACCATGTACATATCCAAAGCCAAATGCTTGAAACTGCGTTTCAAGACACCTCTTGGGCCAGTGATTGTGACAACACGGGCACGCACTGAGGCTTTGATATTCTTGGGGATCTTAACACACTGATTTGAGTTAATAGTCCTCATGTTTTACAACACTAAAAATAAATAAAATACAAAAATATTTTGTCAGATTTATATACGTTTCATTGAAAACAATTATAAATATTAAAAAAAGCAAATATATGTGATGTAAAGTGCTAATAGTACTTTACTATTTACTGCATAAATATTTCATATTATTTATATAAATACAATAAATGCCATAGGTTATTAACCACGAATAATTTATACAATTTGTTGGCGAACAATTTCAATTGGCAATATATAAGAGAAAATATGACTGACAACAGAAATATGTTAAAGAAATGTTAATTTATCATTTTTATAAGAATTTTCTCACACAATTTATTGTATTTAATTTCACATATTTATGATGATTTAAAATTTTATTTATTTACACGAAAAAACACAAACTTACACGCTTCGGACCGACCGGAAAAAGGTTGATGCGAAAAAGGAATTTTTTGACGTTTGCGACGGGGGTATTGCCATTTCAATATAATTTGCTTGCTGTCATTTTTGACACTGACGTTCAAATTTCCCTGAAAATTTGTTTGCAGATTCGGTAATCTATACAGAGTTGCCAGGTGTTTTCCCAATATTATAACATGAAATTATTCACATGGTCTTTATTACATGTTTTTTGGAAAACATAAAGGTGGAGGTACACAACACGCGTTGAGGCTTTTCAAACTTTTCGCGCTTTACAAGCTGCAAGTTACACACCACGCGTCATTTTGAACTTTATTTTAAAACTATTACTGTTTTAAAATTCAAAATTTTAAGTTTTTGTTTATTTTTTAATATTTTTCTTTCATTGTTGGTGAAATTTATTTCATTTTGGTTTATTCTTATTATACACAAAACAAAATACAACCAAAAATTATTTGTGAGTTGTCGTGATAAAATAAGCACTTTGTTACCCCTATGTATTAACATAAACAAAAAACTGAAAATTTTTCTGCCGACGTTTTGTCAAGTGCCGTGATAAATATTTGTCTAATATAGACATGGGGTAACGCGCTGCCGCGTACAACGCGTGTTGTGTACTTTCACCTTAAGAGTTTAAACACAATCATACATACATATTTGAAATATTTTTTCAACTATAAAATAAAATTTTTAAAATAAAGAAAATCTCTTAAATTACATATATATTTATTATATTAAAGGATTGTAAAATAGTTTAAACAACACAATTTATACTTTTTTATGATTTAAATTTTTGGTTTTAACATTTTTAAATCTAACTATGTTAATTAAACGTAAGTACGAAAAAACATCATTCATGTTCTGAAAAACATTATGTTCTTTGTAATTAAGCATGCGAATTGAAATATTTTTAAACATAAAACATTTGTAAAAAACACGAAATATTGAACGTAGTATTATATTATGTTCATATAGTTATGGTTTATGGTGGTGTGTTTTCAAAAACACAAGTGTTTAAATACAACCCTTTTCATATTTAATTATTTTGTTTTTGTTTTGAGATATTTTTCAGAAACTAAACCATACTTCATATCCCATTTACAATACAGCGAAATCTAGAGATTTCGAGCAAATCTAGTTATAGTAGAGAAATACGAAAAAATGGCATTTGAAACAAAACAAATAAAAAAATAATTTTTGAAGAAAATTTCATAAAAAATAAAAACATGAATGAAAAGTGTTTTAAAAGCAATATATAATGTATGCCTTTTACACCAACGAAAAACTAGTAGTGTTTGGCCAAGGCGAATTCAGATAAGGTGGTGGCAGTTCTGCAACAACAACATTTTACATGTATTTTGTTTTTGCATTTGGTTTACGTAGATGTCAAAAACCATAAGTACGGCGAATTCATTTCATGAAAAATTTTTGTAAAATTTTTATATTTTATTAAAAATAAAGATAAAGATATTTAAATTTGTGAAGAAAATATATTCTGAATTGAATAATGTTTGTTTCAAACGAGAAAATCTATTCCGGCAGACATTTAATAGATTTCAAAATTAAGCCATATGTAAAAGTAAGCTTCCGCTGTTCGGCTAAATTCTTCATATGTGTTTCTTTATATAAAGTGTTCCGGAAGAGATTTTTTTTAGTTAATCACGTTATCTACACAATGTTAACATAAAATATAAAACGATATTGTTTAATATGTTAACATTTAATAGAAACAAATATTTTTCCTAAATAACATATTTATATACATACCAATTATGTCATTATTTAAATAAAATGATATTTGTTTACGAGATGCTTGGTATTTTTAGATTTTTTACATAAATAATTCAAAATATTAACGAAGTTTTTCTCCGTTCAACGGAAATTTTTAAATATAAAAATGTAAACAATAACAAACTTTGACAGCTACGTAAACCAGGCGAATTAAGAAAAAAATTATCAGCTGATTGAATAACACCACCTTATCTGAATTCGCCTTGATCTCAAAGTGTAAAAATGAATAAAAAAATAGAGATTAGGCCCCGTATTTATAAAGATATCAATCGTTTATTTTAGGTTTATTGCACACATTTTTCATACAAAATTCCTACAATAAACCATCAACAACTTTATTAAGCGATTATGAATATGTGAATACGTTTTCGTCAAATATTTGATAAGTGTGAATGTATTAGCGAAAATGTAAACAAAGCAAATGTCATGAAATACAAAATATTTACTTTATGAAGATACAACACGTGCAATTGTTTTATTATTTGAAATAAAATGCAGCAAGAGGACAGTTATTTTCGAGATTATGAAAATCTTGAGGTAATTTGTACTTATTTTTATTTAATCAGGTATTAATATTAAATATTTTAGGTACATGAAATTATGCTTCGCGATCGACCGCGACAAGAAGCTTATAAAAATGCAATTTTATCAAATGCTTCACTTTTCAAAGATAAAATAGTTCTAGATGTTGGAGCTGGCACTGGAATATTATCTGCATTTTGTGCTAAAGCTGGAGCAAAGTTGGTGTATGCTGTAGAAGCTTCGAATTTGGCGAAAATTGCATTAAAAGTGATGGAGGAGAATAACATTACGTCTACAGTAAAGGTAAGTAATTGAAGCATGGATGCGAATAAGGGCGAAAAGACCACTTTGCCCAAATCGCGGTTTTTGACATAGTGTTCAACGGATCTACTTATCTATTCCTGAAAAGATAATTTGAAAAATCTAAATTTTTCGCCAAAATATTTAGCTTTAAAAGCATGTTTTCTGTAATTTTATTTTTTATTAAGGTAAATGATAATTCTGATATCAGGTATTTTTTGTTAAAAGTTGTATAAATATTTATTTTATTTGCATCAAATTTGCAGAAAAGGCAGAATACATTTCATTTCTATGAATTCTTTTATTAGATTGCAAAAATATATTATTATAACATTAATTTCAACATGGACAACAAAAAGGGTATACCTATAGGAATATACATATGTATAGCGGAAATTCTTTGTTTTAGATTTTAAGAAATATTATTTTGAAAATTAAGTGATGACGAATTTTTATTCACAAGACTTGAAAGAATAAAAATTTTGTGGTCGAGCCTTTGTAATGCCTGGAAAGAGAACAGATACGGAAAGGAGAAAAGAGCGATAGAGACAGTAATGGGTAGTATTTAAGAACTGAAAATAAAAAGAATAAAGAGATAGTAGCGAGCCTATCAGAGAAGTGAGGATCATAGTGTGTGATCAAATACACGCCCATTTCGACAGTTTTAAGAATGCTAGAATACGTTCAAGTTGAACAGTTGATAGATTGCCTGATAGCGGATCGATTCAAGGGCCGGACAATTACACAGAAGATGAGTAATTGTTTCCTCTTCTTCTTCATTTTGACAGCTCCTACAGAAGTCATTGTATGGAAGACCAATGCATCTGGCATGGTTTCCGAACTTGGAATGACCAGTAAGAACTGATAACAGAGTGCTCAGATGTGTTCTACTAAGCCCTAATATGTAGGATGTTTTATGAGGATCCATACAGGGCCATAGCAACTTAGCAGTCAAACAAGTGTGTTCTTGAGACCACCGATCTTGAGCTGAACTAAGCAAATGTTGTATATTTGTTTCTTAATGGCCGCAAGGGGGACGCAGCAGAATTGGTCTATATCCAATATGTCCATCCTCGTACCAGCTTTCGCCAAGATATCAGCAATAGTATGCCTATTATATCCCAGTGTCCTTTGACCCAAACGAGGGTAATTCTTGAATGTCTCGACAAGAGTAGCACATATTGTTTTTGGGCTTATTTGCACATATTTGTTTTAAATATTGAAAAAGAAATATGCGCTTTTTAAATAAGTTTTTAATAAAATATATACCTATTAAGGGTACAGATTTGACATAATTACATGTATATATTGGTAAATTATTGTAATTTGCTACTTTAGTTGTAAGAAAAAACATTAAAAAAAGTTTATAATTCTAAAAACTGCATAACATGTAGTGTAGATGCTAAAAATGTACAACAATAATTAGAATTATCCATCCCTGCATTAATATATTTTCGTTCATTTTCATTGCAAAAGCAAGAAACGAGAGACAACAAAACCTCTTTCAATGACAGCTCATATGAGACTGAATTGTGTTTTCTATGCGTGTGAGTAGTCTGTGTAAATTTAGTAACGGTTAAAATACACAGTGTATAGGAGTTGGCGATCGTGGGATTACACCAAAACGCGGGAGATGATCCATTTTTACGGTATTATATTAACTAGCGTAAATAAAATAATATTATGGCGGTATTATGATTTAAATCAATATAATTTGAAACACATAGGACTTTTTGTTGGAGCATTTAATATATGGAAATCACATATGTAGGGGCTTTTGCTAAATCCTAAACCAATTAAGAGATACATAGCATTTTCCATATAATTTGAAATTGATTCCACTTTGTATTTTTTCTGTTTGTTTAAATTTTCATACGATTTTGTATAAAAAAGCTTGCTTTAAATTACGTTTCGGTTAACAACTCCTGAACAACACGAGTCTCCATCGAAAAAATTTCACTAAAATATAGAAGAGAATTTAGGTATCCTCATACCATATATTTGTATAATTTTTAACACGGGGCTGTCTGACCTATTTGACATTGAACTATACACTATGAAAATTGACCTTTAACCTTTTGGAAGTAAAATAGTCTGTTTACACGATTTTAAAGACAATATCCTTGGCTTTATAACGAAAATTATTCTGTACTTAAAGGAATTTCAATGTTATGGGCAATTATACATATGTATATACTTTTAGACAATTTTAACATATTTTTAAATTTTCAAATCGCGATATTTTTGGTCTGGAACGGGATTCCGATCAAGAGGTATTTGATTTGCGGAACACTTTCAAACCATAATATGTGTGGGGAATTTCATTAAAATAGGAGACGGTAAATCCGAAAATAGATGTTTTGATATGGATTCTCCCTATAGGGCATCATTTGAAAGGGGTTTTGAAGACGCGTCCAATGATGTACTATTCATAAATATCCGTCTTCTCACAAATGTTATTTTCCAAACAAATTTATAAATTTTTCATTAATATAAATAAAATGTATGCACAATTTTGTACACCGTAAGCAGAGCTGCCAGATGAATTTTTGAAAAAATCGTCAATTTCCCGATAAATTTTTAAATAATCGTCATTTTGGTTTTAAGAAATCGTCAAAAAAATCGGAGAATATAAAAAGCTTAAAATTTTTATAAAAAATTAAAAATATTGTAATATGTTAAGATGAAATATATTAAAAAATAATAATATTAATACATATTTATGTAAAATTCGAAAAATACGGAATATTATTGCTCAAAATTCAATAAACTTTGAGTTTTGAAGAATATTCGACAGTAATGTTAATTTTGTTTTAATGTTCTCATAATGTTTTCAATGTTCTGGCATTTTTAAAAATATCAAACATAAATACTGCTAAAATTTACATAGTGTTCACATATAGTTTTTAGGTGTAGAAACTTGTTCATCTTTTTCCTTAAATTTCTCAAAGTTTGTTGCATCACAATATTGCTTGTTTTGGTGCACAAGGAATATTTTAATGTTTTTAAGCAAAAAACTGTTTGTAAAATTTTTGAAAGTTTTCTGTAAACAAGTACTTACCCAGCAAAGAATATTCTTGATTTGGAAGCAATAAATAAAACTACTGCATCTTTAACTCCTTCTTCTATTGCATCTTAAAATTATTGCCTTACAAAAAAGATTTTGGAAGGCATATATTCAACAGCTCTAAAATCACTTAATTTTTGCATCTTTCTAAATTTAAATTAATATTCAGTGTTGAAAAATAATATTAATTCACTGAAATCAGCGCAATTTCAACAATATGAAATATGCACATTTTGGATTCCTTAGGCCGAGCCTCTAGGAGAGGAATTCCTTTATAAAAATCATATATTCTTTCATAACAAGTGCAAGCAGTAACAAAATGACGATAAATCGTCAAATCTGGCAGCTATGACCGTAAGGCGCCACATTAAAAACCTTTCAAATGAAACCACATATTGTATATTTCGTTTAAGAAAAAACTGTAAAATTTAAAAAAAATAACTAAAAATGGCCTTTTGGTAACCGGCCAAGCTCATGAACGGCCATCGATAGACTCAAAATATTTTTGGAACCATCATAAAACAAAACAATGATTTTGAAGTTGGGTAAAATTTTAAATATAACATGAAAAATTTTTCTCCATGTGGATGTCAAAATTGTCCAAACGAAATCTGAAGACTCTAGCTGTTGCAGTTTCTGAGATATGCCTTCCAGACATACAGGAAGGCACTGTGAAAATTTCAAGAAAATCGGTCCTGCAGTTTAGCCGTCTATAAACTTCGAACAAACAAATAAACACGCATTCATTTTTATATGTATATACATGTTTTTATTGTCAGCTTTCAAGAGAGCAATACAATAGCGGATGCTTCAATGAAAAGGCAAATATTTTTAAAAACAATTCTAGATGCGGAAGGGAAGACAGAAGGAAAAGAAGTCAAAACGATTATGTTAGTATACTATGCATTGAAAACATCAGATTTATTCTGCAAAACATAAACTGTGATGTACCTTGAGTAATCATCTATAAATGTTATAAAGTATAAATGTTATAAAGTATGTTGTGATTTAACTCTCATAGTTGTAATAAATTATTTGAAACTGCGGTACCAATCGATTTAAATGGTTTGGTTGACATTTTGCACATGGAACACGTAACACAATTGTTTTCATTTGGTGTATTACCTTGTAATCTGCGAATAATTTCTTTTCTTTCCAATTTCTTGAGATCTGACATATTTAAATGACCATAACGCTAGTGCCATAATTATTTTTAGAAATTTCTTCTTAGCATTAAATTATCCATAATCTTCGATTTAATTTGAACCGAAATGCTTTGAATTGAAATTCTTCATTCTTAAAAAATCTTACTTATCGAAAGAAATTTAGACTTCATATTTGGTATGTATAAAACTTCCTTTAATGTATAACATTTATTCCAAAATTTTACCCTTATTTCACCAATTCCACTTAAATTTATCACCAGAATGAAGCAACTATTACACTGTTCATACTCATTTAGTTTTGAAAATGCATTTTTATTTCCATAAACATCTAGGATCCATTCATCCTGATTTTCTTCATTCATACAGGAATTGATGACAAGCATTGCACTATTTACGTTGTTTGATTTGTTCTTGGAATAACACTAAGATTTGATATGACCCTTTTTTCCACATTCAAAACATTTAAAATTTGTTGATTTATTTTCATTATTTGATCTATTCTCATTATACGATCTATTTTTGTTGAAGTTTTGTTTCTTGTTTTTAATTACAAACAATTGTTCCTTACTAGTACTAACGTTTTCATTTTTACGCTGCTCTTATTTCAAAATTTTCGTTTTCAATTGTTCCAGACTAGTCATTGCATCTCTGCTTTCAATCGCCACTACAAAGTTTTCTAAATCTTGAGGTAAACTGCATAACAGAAATATAGATAATAGTTCCTGCGGAAATTTTATGTCTAGACTATGTTTAAATAAATTGATGATATT